TATTGTAGTGTGTTTTCAGGCTTTGCATTTCACTGCTTTGTATTGCCAGGTATTTTATTACATTGTATTGTATGTAATGTACTATAATTTAATGTATTCCATTGTATTATTTCGTATTAACTCGGTGGAGCGCATTACATTCAGTTGTAGTATATTGTAGTCCATTGTGATGCAGTATTTTGCATTAAAATGCATTATCTTATTCTGAATTGTGCTACAATGCGTTGTACTGTATTGCATTGTATTGTGATTTATTATATTGAAATATACAGTGATGCAATGCACTGAATTGTAGTGCATTTAAATACATTCTTCCAGATTGTATTTTCAGGTATTGTATTGCTTTCTTTCAAGATCAATTACATTAGAATGCGTTGCATTGTATTGTATTGTATTGTATTGTATTGTATTGTATTGTATTGTATTGTATTGTATTGTATTGTATTGTAATGCAATGAGTGGAATTGTATTGCCTGGTTTTGTATTCTTTACATTACATCGACAGGGCAACATTTTGTCTCTAGGCGTGTTGATCAGCTGCAGACAGAACTCGGACTCTTGTACGCCAGAGCAGACGAGCAGGACGATTTAGTCTGGCAGGGATCGATGTAAAGTTGCCAAAGCTGCTGAACATATACTCCTTTACGGAGTGGCTTGGCCCTATCGCGATGGCAACCGTTGGCAGCCGGATCAATAATAGGCGCAACTTTTCACTCTGATATTCTGCCTCACGAGAAAAGCAATTCCACGAATACATGCACACACACACACACACACAACATTGTATCAAGCGCCCATCCTGCTTTTCGTCTCTGTATCCAGCCGTCCAACCGTTCAGCCGTTCAGTCGTTGAGCCGTCTTTTCATACTTTGCCCATATCGGCCAAAAGAGAGACTGTGTAATTGTGTCGTACATTGTTTGTGTGTGTGTGTGTGAGTGTGTGTGTTCTGACGCAATGCCTTGTTGTCAGGTCGTCTTCTTCACCGACCCTGAGTCCTCTCCACCCTCGGGCACGAGAACAGCTTCGTCTCATCCTCTGCTCACCGTCGCCGTTCTGTCTCTACCCTCGGCCTGCTCGGTCCTATCAACCGAACGCCCGCCCACCCTCCCTCCCTCCCTCCTCCAGTCCGTCTGCTTGGCCGACCTCGACATCTCCAACCTGCGCTACCTGCCGCTTCAATCCGTCTTCCCAGCCTCCTTCCCACCCGTCGCCAGCTCTCACTACCCTCTTGTCGGATCGCTTGTTCCCTCCGCGCCCACGCATCCGATCCCTGATTGGACGAATACCGGACCACAATCCCTCCTGCCCACCAACCAGCCATTCAGCCATCCGTCTATCTATCTATCTATCTATCTATCTATCTATCTATCTATCTATCTATCTATCTATCTATCT